ATACATACAACTATCAGAGAAAGGTAAATTAATGTTTTGACTTACAGCATTTGAGACTGACTGGTATCGATCATAGCTGATGAGCACAATATTGTACACAGATGTAGTACATAAAAGATAATCAGTTAGGAGCCAAAACGTACAGATTTTATCTCCAAAGTCCCAGTTGAACAATGTGTGAGGAATGTATAGAGGAATGGAGATCATACCTGTATGGGGTAAAAAGATGAGCAAAAAAAATCTAAATTGATAAAATGACTTCTTATAATTTAGAAATTAATTGCATTTCCTTAGCATACTCAGAACTGATTTCTTACATTCTTTAAGAGCATGTTTTTAATAGCTATCATGAGTCCCTATTATTTTCCAGACTAAATTCAGTTACTGACCTGTACTTACAAGGTAATCATGACCATTTATAGTCATGATCCAATCCAAAGAGGGTGAGCCACCTGTCCTCCAAAACACACCCCACACTTCACATCACTTTACCTTTGCCAACATCATTTTTACATACTGGAATGCCCTCTCTTCCACTGAGTCTATTTAGGTCCTTCTCATCCTTCACCCAGTTCAAAAATGCTTTCTTCCTTGTCATCTTTCTTGGAATGTCCTTGATGAAAGTGCCCCTTCTGGATCAGTACTCTCCTGGCACTTTACTTCTCTCTCCCTCTCTCCCTCCCTCACTCCTCTCCACTCCCTCTCTCCCTCCCTCACTTCTCTCCTCTCCCTCTCTCCTTTCCTGCAAATACGTTCTACTTTACAGCATAGCATCTTTTAACTTCTCACACTGTAAGTCAAACTTTGCATCTCTCACATCTAGAGCAGTACAATGGTTACACATTAACTTAAATTAATAACACCTAAGATACATTATATTACAGTTACAATATGTGCCAGCAGTTGTGCTAAAGTACATTACATATATCATCTCATTTAACCTTCACAGGAACTTTGTGAGCTAGATATCAAGACATTGAAGCTCAAAAGAGTCAAAATCAGCCCAAAATTCACTCAGTTTCAAGTGAAAGACTGAATTTGAAACCAAGCAATGTGATTTCAGAACTCCTAACTTTAATTGCTATCTTTCACTGAATGAACAAAATATAGACGTGGTCCAGCCCAACACAGAAATTGCTTAACTATTAAAAATGACTAAGCTTGCACTTCCCTTTAGCTTTGTAAGGGTTTTTTTTTTAAAAGATTTATTTATTTGTGCATACAGAATTGGGGTACAGGCCATTCAATCTCTTCAGCTGGAAGTTCCTTCCAGAACATTAATCAATGCGAAGCAAGAAGCATAAACTGCCCTCACCAAGTCCTCCATATTTCTGTTAATAATATCATAATAACTATTATGACTATTATAACAGTATATTATAACAGAACACAATCTGTAATTGTTCTTTCTCTTGCAGCTCTGTTCTCAAACTTCCTGTCGACCCTCACTGAAGCGCAAAGCCCCAGCAGGTGACTCCTGCGCAGGTGCCTGCAGGGTTGTCTTGCAACTAAGCTGCCCCTGTCCCTGCTCTTGCTTCTCTCACCTATTGCATCTCGTCTGGTGCCTTTAACATAAAGTTTTAATCCATCCAATCACTCGCCTCTTAAAATATTTAAATCTCCACATGATCTGCTGGAAAAAGCACAACCGAGACTCATACTAGTATTCGAGGTCTTCACATACAGACTCTGACCACTCCAACTGCTTCCACACAGCCGTTAGCACACCACCAGCCCTGACCTCCAATTAAAAAGGCACACACAACAATTTTCTGCCAGCATACCCTTGCTGATACTTGGAATTCTCCTCTCCACCCCATCTCTATCATGGAAATTCTACCCATCCTCTGAAGTTCATGTGTGTTCTCTTTCCTCTTGAGGCCTACAGGATTTGGTAGGTATCCCTGGGTTCCGAATCACTCTGCACCGTTTATAGTCATTTGTGAATTTCCCTTATGCTATATACTATGCATGGACTTATGGAAGAAAAAAGAAAGTCTTCTGTCTCCTCAATATCTAACCACACGTAAGTACCTGGCAGTCCTTACACATGGTAGATTCCTTACTAATATGTCTAACCTTGGTTTAAGTTGAAACATATCTGTAGCGAAATGTGAAGAGCAGAGGACTGACGTTTGAGGAACCACCATGTTCCAGGCAAAAAGCTAGGCAGTCTGTGAGTTTTGTTTCATTTCAACATAAATGTAAGTGCTTATACAGCTATAGACAATGCATATTAAATCATACTAGAAGCTCCTCTAAAACAAGATCATCGGTTCACATTTCTACACATTTACTTATTATAATAAATATTGTTTTAAAATGATGATCACGGAACAGCAAAAAGTTACAAAGTATGTGTTTTCAAATAAAGATAAAGTTGACTTGCATTATCTCTTATGATTATATGATATGGGGCTTCATGCCATATTATTTCAAGATAGTTAAGTATATTTTATACTATTCTATACCATAGCATAAAATAATCTTGTGAGCCATACTATTTAATTGACCTGAACATTTCATCATTTGAGTGTTGCTGATTACCAGTATGTACATTATTTCCCATCAATCCAACACTGTGATAATAAGAAATCTATTAAGGAGGAATATTTATTTGTGAACCTAACCATACAAGGAACATAGCTCCAGAAGTAAATGACATTAAGACTAAAACAATTTCCAGTCATGAAAATCCCCTCTACAAAACTGATATACACATTATATAATATTTTCCTGAAATGCCATTTCACTCCCCATGACTTTAATCCTTAATTTCTGGGTCTTTCATCACCCCCAATTTCAGTGTTTTGAACTAACAAAAGTTTAAGGTTTTAGAAATAAATTATAGTTGGGAAAAATTATCTTATAAGAAAATTTATAACTTACCTACGAAGAAGTCAGAAATGGCCAAGTTCAGAAAAAAATAATTACTCCGATGTCTAAGGCTTTTGTCCACCAGAAAAGCTATAATGACCATCGCATTTCCTACCATTATAGCAAAAGCTAATAAACTCATTAAAAATGCTAAAGCAATGCGAGTGCTTGATGAATAAGTTGTTGTGGTATTATTTGACATCACATCCAATAATGAAGAAACAGTTCAATACAGAAAATTAATCCAATAAGTCAATTTTTACAAGAAGAGTTTCTGATCAGGTATCTAAAATATATTATCTCCTACTTACAACAACATTTTTCAGAGTCTAATCTCATAGCACTTCCTGAATCTTGATAAAGCAAAGTTGTGGTAACAGTTTCCTTTTAGCTGACACTAAAAATTTACTTCTAAAAGACAATGAAAGGTTTTACCTTAAACATTTAATGTGACTTACCCATTTTCCTTTAATAGTGATATTATAAAATATATATGAAATATAATTGTTATAATGATTAGGTTAAAAAAAAGAAGAGTCAAATGGGATTCATTTTTAAATCTAACATAGATCTGAGCTCTAGGGACTAAGCTCACCATGCTGTCCAACAAAAATGTGGACAAAACAAATGAGGCAATTTTATTCAAGCCACTGGATATGAGCAGTGAAGGTTTTATACCACTAGAAAAGGAAATAAAATGAAGTAGGCCTTGCCATTGCCCACACTACTTTCTTGAAAGAATATCCAGGGCATGGAGCAGAGAAGACACAACCAGAAGGAGCCCAGCTGGTTGGCTGGCTGGGAAGATGGGGATGAAAGTCAGGGAACCCCACAAGAATCTGCCACAGAGCTACCAGGAGATACAAGTCTAGAGCAAAGTAACTTCCTCCAAAATTCACCAGATTACCAAGTAGCTTCGTATGTGAAGAAATGTTGTTAGGCATAAAAAAGAACCCTTAAGGAAATGTAAATTAAAGCCACAATGAGATATCAAATCACACCAGTGAGGATGGCACATATTAAAGCAACTAACAATAATAAAATATTGGTGAGGATGTAGAAATAAAGGAATGTTCCTACACTGATGGTGGGAGTGCAAATGGCACAACCACTTTGGAAAGAAAGCTGTGTGGAGTTTTCTCAAACTGCTAAAAATGGAACTTCCATATGACCCAGCAATCCCACTCCTAGGTATCTACCCAAAGGATATAAAAATATTGATTCCAAAGGACACAGCCCCCCCCATGTTTATTGCTACTGTATTTACAAGAGGGAAGACATGGAATCAACCCAAATGCCCAAAAATAGATGACTGGATTAAAAAGATGTGGTATATATACACAATGGAATATTACTCAGCAATAAAAAAGATAAACTCTTACCTTTTGCAGCAACATGGATGGAACTGGAAAGGATCACGCTTAGTGAAATAAGCCAGAAAGAAAAAGAAAAATGACAGGTGGTTTCACTCATAACAAGAATATAAGGGACTGGGTATGTGGGAGGAGGGGGGAAGGAAGCACTTAGCAATTGTAAAAAAGTAAAAAAGAAAAAACAATGACCAACTATAAACCAGAAATGTTTTACAGAGGTGGAGGGAGTAATGGGATAAAAACTGGGTGGGAAGATTGCATGGGGACTATGGTGACGGCACAGGTGAATTGGTGGTGGGAAGTCTGCAGAGATTAAACCCGAGATGAAAAAATACACAAAATGTAGAAGTATGTAAAAAAGAAATAAAGAACCCTTAAAAATTGTAGAAGGAAAAAAAAGTAGCAGGGGAAGAGTACCTAGTGTTCACTGAGGGCCAGTTAAAGATATTGTTCCCAGGGTGATTTCATCAGCCTGATGAAACTCCTAATTCCTGGGGACTGGGTGTTCTACTTAGGAAGATCTCGCTTCAGTAGACAGGAATAGTTTCCCCTTTACTAAACACTGCTTGGATCCTGCCTAACAAATCTTAAAGCAGGATCTAAAAGGACCAAACTGTTTCCAAGTTAATTTAACTGCAGCCCTGAACACAATTTACAAATGTTTATAGAACATTATGCCAGTTTTCAACAAGGTAAAAATTTAGAACATCTAGAATCCAATTAAAAATTATCAGGCATGAGGCCCTCTCTGGTGGCGCAGCGGGTTAAAGCACTGCACTAAGAAGCTAAAGCCACTTCCGCATGAGTTCAATTCCCGCCTGCCCCGGAGGAGATCCACATGGCTAGGCAGACCTCTCCTGACCAGCCCGCTGCACCCCTCAGCAGTGTACTTCGTCGATCTGCCTGTTCTGCTCCCTGCTCTGTCTCTGGTGAATTCTCTCACCCTCTGCATCTTTGGTCTGTGCCCCAGTTCTGTATGAATAAATAAATAAATCTTTTTAAAAAAAATTATCAGGCATGGCAGGAATCAGGCAATGATGACCCAAAATGGGGAGAAAACTCAATTGAAATCACCCAGAATTGATAAATTAGAAAAAAAAAAGAACATTAAAATTACTTTATATTTTTAAAACTATTTTATAGTTTAAAAAAAAATGCATATACAGGCCCTCCCTGGTGGCGCAGCGGGTTGAAGCACAGCACTGAGAAGCTGAAGCCACTTCCTCATGAGTTCGATTCCCGCCTGCCCCAGAGGCGACCACATGGCGTGGCAGACCTCTCTGACCCGCCCGCTGCTCCCTTCAGCAGTGTACTTCGTAGATCTGCCTGTTCTGCTCCCTGCTCTGTCTCTGGTGAATTCTCTCACCCTCCGCATCTCTGGTCTGTGCCCCAGTTCTGTACAAATAAATAAATAAATCTTTTTAAAAAAATGCATATACAACAGAGATATTTTCAAAAGACCTAAATCAAGTTTCTTGAACTGAAAACTAGAATATCTGAACTAAAATTACACTATGAAGGATCAATGACAGATCAACCACTGCAGAAGATTTGTGAACTTGAACACATAGAATAGAAACCACACAAAAAACCCACAGAGATAAAACAGAATTCTTTTTTTCTGACAAAGTGACTTACTTTTTTCCGATGAGGCTAAATTCAGTACAGTATTTGTTTTCATATTCCAAAATGCCTATAGAATATTTGTTTTCATATTCATATTTATTTTTACCTGTATTATCAATATGTCAAACTTAATTACACTCTGTTCAGTGACTATGGTGTGATGATCAATTTTATTTGATTACCTTCAGTGTAATTCATTTCGGTAGTTCTAAGGAGTATCAGTGATCAAAATTTTTCTCCCTACAGTTGCTCCTGAATTCTCTGAAAAGCATTATGTGGTGTTATTATATTCTTTTTTCTCAACACCAGCATTTCTAAAACTAGGAGAAACACCAACAGTCTATTCAAAGACAGTTCGATTCAATTGCACCAGAGTATTATAGTTTAATTCATGCAACAAATGTGAATGCCTAAAGTCTAAGTCACATATTAACATTTCACATTAGTGAATAATTTCTCAGGTTCCAAATGAAGATACTAATTGATAAAAAAAAATAGGAAAAGCAAAGTTTTCAAGAGCTTTTTAAAAACTAATACACAAAGTACACAAAATATGCACTAACAAATTGTTAACTAAGCCAGTTAAAGATTAACCCTAAAAATACATTTAGAACTCATACCATCACACAAGGCAGTAAATGAAGGGTATTAAACAATCATTATCTCAGTTACCATGTATCCACTCTAAAGATACAGATAGTGTGGAACATCTTTGAATGTGCTTCTTGTACATTATCTTTGAAAAAATATCTATTCAAGTCCTTTTCTTGATTTTCAGTTTTTGTTTTGTTTTGTTTTGTTTTTTTGGTTACCCTCTTGCTGAGTAAAAGTTCTGTATATGGCCCTCCCTGGTGGCACAACAGGTGAGGATGCAGCACTGCAAGCTAACCTCAGACACTTCACTTCAGTGCAAGTTTGTTTCCCCACACCAGAGGTTATCCACATGGCGCTGCACACCTCTCCTGACCCGCCCCCTGTTCCCCTCAACAGTGTACTTCATCGATCAGCCTGTTCTGCTCCCCACTCTGTCTCTGGTGAATCTTCTCAACACCCCTGCACCTCTGGCCTGTACCTCAGTTCTGTATGCATAAATAAATCTTTAAAAAAATAAAGTTCTGTTATACAAGGCTCTTAGATATACTGTGGGAAGCACATGGTCAGTTCTTTGTGTCAGGTATGTTGTGCTATTTTGTTTTCTTTATGTAAGAGATTGGAAGAATCTACATTGTTTGAAGGCTAGTAAGGTTTCACATTGATCTGAATTGTCGGTGAACTTTCTCTTTAATATAGGATTCCCTAAAAAAAAAAAATGTTGTCACCTTAAATGTCTGCTTCATAAGCTTGAAATGCACCTTGATCTTTAAAATACATATATATTGTTAAACTGCAAAAAATGAGGAATTCACTTCTTAACCTAATCATTATGATGATACTTATACAAATTAGCTAACATATACAAATGTCATCTTAGTCTTCTGGTTCTATGTGTGAGAAACTTGGAAGTCACAACTGTACCAGCAATAAATAAAAAGCAGAACATATTAAAAAATGAACAATTCTTCTTGGATCCATGTGGGAAAGAAAAAGGACAAAATATTTTCCATAAGATTGGAGAGGCGGGAGACTACAGGGAGTCATGAGCTGCCTCTGAACACAGAACCAACTCTGGCACAGGAAACTATGAACTGTAAGTGAAAAATTGCTGGTTGTCAGTATGTACACCTCTGAGAGTTTAAAAGGCCAGGGTGTGCCCAGTCATAAATTTACTTCCAGTGTTTGATTAGGGTTCCCACAGTTGCTAATAGAGAAATGTCCCCTTGTATTTTCTGCAGGGGGAAAAGAAAAGATACCATTTTGAAATAGGCCAGAGCATTCTCTTCTTTTTCTAAATATAATTCATTTATTTATATGTATTTTACATCATTGTTCATTTTTTGTACAATGTTAGCTTTCTCCTCTCAGAATTCCATAGAATTCCCACCACTAGTTCAACTGTGTGCCATTGCCATAGACTACCCGCACAAAAATAAAATCAAAATGAATAAGAGTTGAACATAAGATCTAAAATCATAAAATATAAAGAATAAAATATGACATATATCTCAGCAACATTTTTAAAGACTCACCCCTAGAGCAAAGAAAGTAAAGGAAAAGATAAACAGCTTGGATGACATCAAAGCTATCTGTACAGGGTTCCTCTCTGGTGGCGCAATGGTTAAAGATGCAGCACTATGAAGCTATCTGCAGCCACTACAGCAGGAGCTCAATCCTGGCCAAGAGGTGACCCACATGATGCAGCAGATCTGTCCTGTCTTGCCTGCTGCTCCCCTCAGCGGTGTGTTTCAGTACATCTGCCTGTTCTGCTCCCCACTGTCTTTGGTGAATCCTCTCATCCCCATACACTGCATCTATGACCTCAGCTCTTGTATGCATAAATAAATCTTTTTTTTTTTATTTTTTTTACAACAGTTTATTTTTACATCATTTTGTACATTTTTTTTTCCATCTCAACTGTAATCCCCGCGGGTTTCCCATCACCAAGTCACCCAGGTGCCATCACCATAATCCCGTGCACTTCCCTCCCCACCCCACCCCGTTTTTGATCCCATTCCCCACTCCATCCCCCCAAAATGTCTCTGGTATATGATTGTTCATTATTTTTGTTATTTTCTCGCCTGGTCCATTATACTCCTGCTATGAGTGAAACCATCCAGTATTTTTCTTTCTCTTTCTGGCTTATCTCACTAAGCATGATCTTTTCCAGCTCCATCCAAGTTGCTGCAAAAGACTGCATAAATAAATCTTTTAAAAAAATAATAAAAAGCTCTGTACTGAGCATTCTATTCTTAACAAGGTCTGTGCTCAAAGAAAGCTAGTTAATCCGAGCTTAACCTGCTGGGTATCAGCAAGACTGACTGAAATGGAGGAAGAGAAGCACCTAATCCGAGCCCACTCTAGCCATCCAGTCCCACTGTGAGAGGGACAGACTCAGTAGAAGGCAGGATCCATGGGACTCCAGACTGCTTCCCTAGCCCACACCTCACCATCACACCACTAAAGTCCTATCTTCAGCTGTTCCTCTCAGGTTTAGCTCTTAAGACAAACTGACAATGCATACCAAAAGGTAAAAAATGCAATCTGAAAAGTGCATATATAGGGGTGTTGGAATGACCAGACCAGAAATTTATAACAACCACGATTCATGTGCTAGGACTCTAGGATAAAATAGTCGGCATGCAAGGAAGCAAAGTAAGTAGAAGTGGAGTTCTTTGAAACAGACTAAAATAAAAGCTAGAGATGAAAAATGTTTGTACCACAAATGAAAAATACCTTACCAGAAATGAAAAATACCTTTGATGGGCTCATTAGTAGACTGGCTATGATTGAGAATATCTAAACTAGAGGATCTAGCAACAACATCCTCAAACATGAAAGAGAACAAAGGTGAAATGAAACAGAATATCCGAGGACTGTGGGGTTACAAAGCTGTAACCAAAAGAAAGAGAAAAAAGGAAAACCAAAAGAAAGAGAGAAAAGAACAAAAGGAATATTTGAAACAATAATGACTAAAATTTCCCCAAATTAATTCCAAACACCAAATTACCTATCAAGGAAACTCAGAATACCAATCGGAATAACAAAATAATTTAAAATAACCCTTAGGCATATAATTCTTTTTTTTTGCAGATCAAATATGATGTCTTATTTAAGGCTCTAACCTGTGATCTATCTCAATCACGCTCATTAAATCAGCACTTTAAGAGCTCCCAAGAAAGGGTATTCTATATTTTCCTCAGAAGTTTATTAGAAAGTTTTTGCCTCTATTTAATCTAAATATTTAATCTAAATTTATTGTCCCTTGGATTCCTCTAGGTGCCTTTTTTTTCTCACTGATTTAAAAAGATTCATCTTATATTGTTAAGGTTACCCTTCATTTAAATTATTCCATTTTAAAAATACCTTATTTTTAGAGTAGTTTTTTTCTTTATTGAGGTGACTTTGGTGGGACTGCTTCCAGGACCTGCCCAAGAATGCACCAAGGTCCTTAGAGAAATACCTAAGTAAGGGTCTTAGCAGTTCTACTCATGAGCTTCAGGGCCCACTCAGAGCCACGGGGGCTCAGCTGGCTCACTCAAGTTCCTGTCCCACTGCTTGCTGGGGACCCCACCTCCAGATGCTATTCTTAGTTTGTGTGGTAGTCATCTATTTCTTTCCTTTAGGAATGTATTGGCAGACCTTTCCTGTCTTACCCACTGCTCCCCTCAGCAGTATATTTCAGTCAATTTGCCTGTTCTGTCTCTGGTGAATCTTCTCATCCCCAGCATCGCTGGCCTATACTCCAGTTCTTATATGCATAAATAAGTAAATCTATAAAATAAAAATGAAAATAAATCTATATGGAAAATACAAACTTTAAAACAGAGAACAGAAGAAAATTCATTTTCTTCTAGGACTAGGAAGTCCCTCCACATGATACCAAAATATAGTAAAGAAAAAAGAATAAATTCTATCCATCAAAATTTAAAACTTTTACCTAGAAAATCTGTTGAGAATGAAAGAAAAGTCACAAACTGGGAGAAGTTATCTACAAATCACATCCCCCAAAAAACTTGTCTATATAATATATTTTTTAACTTTGACAAATACGCTTCAGTTATATATTATTACTAGGGAAAACTAAGCACACAGGCTCTCTCTTCTGTTTTTAAAAAACACCTCTGTACTAGTCTGTAATTATTTCAAAACAAAATATTTTTTAATATTTTATTATCTACAAAACTGCCCATTATTCCACATTTGACCCTAAGTATATCTCATAATACAAAACTAGGTGGGTATAAAACTTTTCTACCTAAACCAATCAAGGTATTAGACTGTGCATTTGATCAAGAAATTCCACTTCTAGCAATTTATCCTAAGAAAGTAATCAGAGGTGTATACGAAGGTCTTCATATAATGATATGGAGTTTCAGCTGTTTATAATATTAAAAAATTAGAGAAACAACTTAAAAATTGGAAATAAGCCAGGACTAGTTAGCATATTATGAGATACCCAGAAGATAAAATATAATGTAGCCATAAGAAATTAAGCCATAGAAGAATATTTATTGACATGGGAAAATGTTAACAATATACTTCTATATGAAATATGCAGGATACAAAACAGTATATACAATTTAATACCATTTTTGTGAGGAAAAAATAGCCATATATACAAAATCATGCATAGGAAAAAAATAGAAGGATGTACATACCAAATGTTAATAATGATTATCTCTAAATACAATAGTCCTCAATAAATTTCACCTGCTCTCCAAACAGTACTTTCTTTATGCTATTAGTTTTTGGAATGAAATCATTTTGATATAATTCTCTTCAGTTTCTGTTTCATGATACATACCTCCAAATCAGACTGATAAGCCTATTTTAAAAGTAAATGTTACTTGTTCTTACATATGGAGAATATTTTAAACAAAAACAATATACTATAAAATAAGCTACAGCGTAGATTTGGCTATAGAAAATTATTTCAAGAATTTGAAAATCCTCTAACCAAGATAAAATTTAAAGAGAGAAAAAAGATTCTATCATTAGTTAAGGGTCCGTAACAGTGGAGTTCAAAATAACTCAAGCAGCAGAATTGGAGATTTTTGGATCTTTCCCTTTTACTAAATAAATGACACTGGGAAAGAAGATTAGGCTTATTAGTTAGGGAATGTGGTTAATAATGTTTTAGGAAATAAAACGAGATCACAGATTAATGTGTTTTTTTATCAAGACCTAAATAAATGCTACATTAATTTAGCAAGAAAAAAAATCAAATTCAGTGTTGTGAAAAATAAACTCACATTTCATTTTAAATTCTTCCTGTTTTATATGTTCTTTCAAAGACTCGCCATGTCAAATTTGTGAAATTATTTCACTGTTAAGACCACTGTTGTGGTCTTTAACTTATATAATTATTTTAACAGTTAATACATAGGGCATACTTAACTTTTCATGGAAATCTCAGGTAAGTATTCTAATGTACAGGACATCCTCTCATAACTCTTGGTACCTGGCAACATTAAGCACAACAAATATAATTTAGCTTTATTTCTCAGAATTTGTCCTAGTCTAAGGCTATTTGCTACATTTTTATTAAGTATATCAAAAAAAGATGTGGGGATCTTTTAAAAATAAAACATCAGAGAATAGAAAAAACCCTGTGTCCACTTTCTCTGATGCTTTTTTCTATGTTCCAGCACCATCCCAAGTTGCCTTTACAAGGGAATCTCTGGCAAATCTGTGATCAATTAATAACTTCCAACAAATGTTTGAAAAGGAACAGTTAAATCTATTATCTAGCTGCCTAGAGGTAAATCATATAACTTGCAGATGGAAGGAGGAACATAAAACACTGATGACAAAGAAGATTTTATAAGTAGAGGGGGAAAAAAGAGTGATTTTCTTTGTTTTCCAATCAAGTAATTGGCTAGAGTGTTGGTGGGAAATGGGCCTTACAGCTCTCTAACTACATGACATACTCTTGCCTTACCCCATTGTGGTTCTGCCAGCTTTGTTCCATTCTATGAATGTCCCATTAACCATAACATATTCTAGCATAGTTCTAATTCCTCAATAAAGATCACAAGAGAAAGGTAATTTCAAGTTGCTGGAGAAAAATCATATTACACCAATACAGTTTAGGAGCAAACAAAAGGCTATCTACACTTCATATTTATTACTTTATATTACAACAATTAAACAAAATGGTAGCAACAAGAAAATCACTTTTTGAAATCACAATCACCAACTTGTGACAGAAAGTGAGGTACAACACTTACGCTAACAAATATGTTAGATGGATTATCACTTTGGCACAGAACTGCAGATGGATATACCTGAATTTTCACTTAACCCATTATTCAATAATGAACACTATAAAATGAAAGGTTACATACTTCTGAACGAAAATCACAAGAAGAAACTCTCTAAGATCAATCTTCAATGAGCTCTTATTCCAATAAGCCATAAAGAGGGGGTAAAAGCAATATTCATCTAACAAAATGAGGATCCCAATGACAAGAAATCATGTATTTATAATCCTCTAGAGACATTTCTTCCCCACCTAACAAAGGCACTTGACATGTACTGAATGGACAGTTAATTCAGGTACTGCCCTGGGCAACTGTTACCTTCCTAAAAGTAGATGAAGTGGTGATTAAGTTCAAATTAATTCTTTAGAATCAGCCTGAAACACACATAAATATGTCAAAAGTTTTCTATTTTTGGCAAATGATATAACCAAAGAAGAAAAGATAATGTTGGTGTCCACAATGAATTAGCTGGCTTGAGCAGTCAAGGATCCTTTCTCTGCACAATATATTCCTTGATGACTGAGGAATCTGTATATAGTTATAGGCAAATTAACCTTTCATAGAGCTTCAGCTATTAATGTTCACTTCTCTTCTTGTCTTTTCTTACTTTTTTGTTCTTTCCCAAAGCCTTAGATGAATCTTCCTGAAAAAGATACAAGTCAATTTAGTATCTCTCTACTTACATGAAGATAGTCTTAGAACCATAAATATGATCACACAGAATGCATATAATAAAGTATATGTACATATGTTCCTTTTTTCACAAGACTTTCATTTATAATCTATTTCAGCATTTCCAAAATAATCAAGAATAAACGAACAGGCTTATTAGGATAATTTCAATATCATGTCTGTTTTCCAAAGCAAAGCAGTAAAGTTTAAATAAAATAGGTAAGAATTACCATATAAAATAGTAAAAAGAAAAAAAAAGACCTCAGGAATAATGATTCAAAGGTGTTTCAACTCTGATAGAGAATATTAGAATTTCATTTATGTTTAAAGAATATCTAGTTTATTATACAACATTAACTACAATTTCTCTGGGCCTCAACTTTAGGAAGTAGAAAGAAATTTGTATTTAAAGATTGTTCTAATATTTGAATTCTATGAACCCGTGGAATTTAGGTTCTAAAATACAGAGTGATCTACTCAGATAACACAACTAGCCACTTAACACTGTTTGACTAGAACCCAAATCCCAAGTTTCATCTGAAGCATGACACACATTCGAATTCATTCTAAATTTTCATCTTTTTCTTTTTTAATTTCATAGATTGTGGTGAGAAACTTCCCAGATATAATACCAATAACCACTTACTGGTGAATTTGTGTAGTTCTTATCCACTAGTATGTTTCTGGCACAGTTGTTGATATGTTTAAAGCGATCAGGTCCTAGCAGAATCCCTCCATACCATCGTGACACCACCACCATGACATTCCTCACATTCAAAATCTGTTATTTTCAGAAGCATTATTAGATACACATATAAACATGTATAAAGGTGAGTTTTAAATGAAAATGAAATAACCCATGTGTAAAACTGTATATAAAATTTCCCTATGGCAATATTGACGGAATCACATGCGTAAAAAGTATGATTACCAGTAATTCAGGGGGTAGAATGGCAGAGTGAGAAGGCAGTTAGGGAAAAAAAAAAAAAAAGCACTGTGCCCCACAATATCTTCAAATCCAAATTTTGGGATTTGGAATACCAGGATAACCAGGCAGAGTGAAGGGGGTACCATGCAATTAGGGTTGAAATTCTTGGAAACTTCAACCAGATTAGTTTAACCCTTTACCCCTAGGTCAAACAACAACACACACCCTGCTTCTCAACAAACTACTAGAGAACAAGGGCTGCCTGAGTAAGCACTGGGGCCAACCGAGGTCTTTCTCGGTTTCACAGTTGTCAAATGCTGCCCATCATTTCACAGGCCTCAACTGCATACAGTGTTCCTATCAAGGGAAGGGCCTAATTAGAAAACAAAACCTCCATGAACAATAGCAAGGCAACTATAGCAACTACCTTAGGGGAAAAAACAATCCATTCTTAAAAATTAATGAGTAATCAATGATCACCAGAAAGATGAAGAAAATCCAGCAGCATGAAAGAGAAAGGAGAATATAAACTAAAATGGAACAGGAAAGATTTAAAAGAGAGAACATCTTAAAGAAAAGAAGCTTTAATTAGTATATGCAGAGAAATTTAGAAGGTATTGTGTCCATAAAACCAGAATAGCACACTATGAAAGAGGCAAAATAGAGATTTGAACGTTTGAAAATTAAACACATGGTTGCTTAAAAAATTTCAATCCAATAGAAATTTTCAAGATAGTCAAGAAAATGTCTCAAGAACATAAAGCAGGCAAAATAGAGATTTGAAAGTTTGAAAATTAAACACATGGTTGCTGAAAAAATTTCAATCCAATAGAAATTTTCAAGATAGTCAAGAAAATGTCTCAAGAACATAAAGCAATGAGATGGACAACTTAATAAAAACAGAAACATTCAGGATCTAACCAGGTTGAATATAGCTAGCTAGCAAGAAATTCACAAGAACAAAACAGAAAGTAGAGAGGAAGAAACCGTCAAATTTTTTGAAGCTGAAGACAATTGTCTGTCATCTATGGCTTAAAAGAGCTTGAAAACACAGCACTTACTATTAATGCTTTACTTTTTACCCATATCCAAGTTAAAATTTTCTTTCAATCAATGTTTTAAAATTAACCACTAATTAAACCAGTATCTTATGCTACATAAATGATGTACTTACTCCTAAGTCAAGCTCTGTTTCTTAAGAAATTTTACGGTTCACGGAACAGGCTTAACAGGGTCTAACTTATACTTACCTCCATGAGATGCAGAAGACGACCGCCAGCTGCTGTTTCCCCATCATCCTCACAGTCCTGTAAGAAGGTCTGTTTATCCTCACAATATATTCTAGAAATACATATAAAAATGTTACACTTTGAAACTTCAAAATATTGTAATAAAAGTTATTCTTTCATATGATTATTTGTACAATCAGCATATGCTTCACTTTTCAGAACAGATAAAGCTAGGATTCAAAGGCACCTCTTTGAAATCAAAGATGCTATTATGGGAAGATGAGTTACACAGACACTTGCCCCCCTTGAAATGATGAGATTCTAGAGAGTAGTTACTGAAAAACATTTAGGAGAATATACTGCACAAAAGCATTATAAATAACAGGCACTATGAAATGATGTAAAGAAATACTCCTGTCTTCACAGAGCCTAAGCTGTAATTAAATATATAAAAAGAATATAAAAAATGTGAAGTATTTTCCTCACATCCTATTCTAGCAATCAAGCATTTCTCTATTTCCCCTTTCTGAATAAGAATTATAAGATTAATTTTTTTTATAAGTTTCACCCAAATAAAGTGGTATTTACATCTACTTAAATTATGTTGAAAATCAGTATTTGGAATAATAAAATAGGGCTATACTATAGTTGAATAAGCTTGAATAAAGAAAACAGTATCGGTTAAAGTATGCCACCTAGTGGATTCCTTAAACTCCTACAAATGGTACCTTCTAGAACTAGACCGATGTAATAAAGATCCAGATGTAGCTATAAAAAGATTATTACTTTATACACTTAAGCCAATTATATTAATTACAGAAATTATGGTCATCCATTCATTCATTTGTTTATTCCTCTGTCTACCAAGCTATCCATTCATTCAATAAATAGCTACTGCTAACCCACTATGACCAGGCCCAATTACTTTAAATTCACTATTGATCTTGCTTGAAGGTAAAATCAGTACTAATAAATAAATTTTGTGTGGCATACTCAAGGAAAAATGGAATCAGAGGTTGTTTTATATTAGACTTGTAATTATAATCTAATACCACAACGTTTTATGAAGAAAATTTAACTCTGTAAATCAGTAGTTAGGTTTTTTTCAAAATTGAAACCACACACATTTTCACTGACATGCCTTTCCTCACATGCCTGGAAGTCAACAAAGCAACATCCAATAATTGTGTATAGCAGTAATCTGCAGTGGCCCCATAACTCCAAAGTGGGAACACAGCCCAGGAACCAGGAAATAACCTTAAAAGGATCCCAAGCTTTAAAAAGGTACAACACAAAGTCCATGTACTAAGTGAAAGTCATTTATTTTACTGCAAAGTGTCCTTCATGCCTCCAGTTAGTGCCTTTTAGTTAGTGCCTGACAAATCATTTTGATAAGCTAAACTGTGAAAAATGATAGTTGATCACCTATTAATATGGTTAAACCACAGAAATATTCGTAAGAATTTAAAAACCCAAAACCTGGGACTTGAAATGGAACATATGGCACATTATTTAACTTCATGAAAACTCACAATCAACATTATGTACAGCAATTGTTAAAGTTTAGCCACGGAGTCATGTAGGAGTAAACGGATATGCAAAATTAGAGTATCAAATTCAGCTTTACCACTTAACAGCTATGTGATCCTGAAAAACAGTAATTTTGTTATAGTGGCAGTTGCTGAAATAAAATTAACTTTCATAAAACTCTTGGCACAGAACAGGCAGTAAACATGTGAGGAGATGAATGAATGGTAACTATTAATACTTACACAGGGTATTTTAATTATTGAGAGCAAGCATAGTCTAATTCTTGATTGTCTTATTATTGACCCTAGCTCATTACGAAAACATCAGAATTCTGTTCAACAATATTCTGGTTAAGTAGGAAATTAAATAACAAATAATCTTTGTAAGTGTTAGTACTTAAAAGTACTATTAAAAATTCATCTATCCAAAGTGATGGATTTTTTAAAAATTTTTTAGTTTCTGATATTTTGCCTGTCATGGATAGTCTCTACATTGTTAATGTACACCAATTCCTTATTTGTATATCTAATTTATTTTAATCCTATACTGTTAAATCTGTATTATGTATGTTAAATCTGTATTAATTGGCATACTTAAAAATAATCCCTTCGGGTCCTCCCTGGTGGCGCAATGGGTTAGGACGCAGCAATGCAAGCCCATTGCAAGTTCGATCTCCTGCCTAGAGGTGATCCACATGGTTCGCAGACCTCTCCTGAGCCACCCACTGCTCCCCTCAGCAGTGTACTTCGTCAATCTGCCTGTTCTGCTCCCCACTTTGTCTCTAGAGAACCTTCTCACCGCCCCACACCTCTGGGCTTGTACCCCAGTTCTGTATGCATAAATAAATAAACTTTAAAAAAAAAATCCCTTCGTCTCTTTAGTAACAAACCAGCAACACATATAAAAAACCTCTGTACTCAAAACTAAAAGGTGTAAAGTAAAAGAAACACACTTAATTCCTTGATAACAAGAACATAATTGGTTCAAAAGAAAAACTTCTGAAATAACTTGGCAACATGTATTTAAAACTCTTCATACTTTTTAATAACTCTATTTCTAGGAATTTACTTTCCTTTTTAATAGTACACCCATTTCCATTTTAAAAAAGACTCTGAGGGCCCTCCCTGGTGGCGCAGCAGGTTAAAGCACTGCACTAAGAAGCTAAAGCCACTTCCACATTAGTTCCATCCCTGTTTGCCCCAGAGGTGACCACATGGCGTGGCAGACCTCTCCTGATCCGCCCACTGCTCCCCTCAGCAGTGTACTTCATCGATCTGCCTGTCTGCTCCCCATTCTGTCTCTGGTGAAGCCTCTCGCCGCCCCTGAGCCTCTGGTCTGTACCCCAGTTCTGTATGCACAAATAAATAAATCTTTAAAAAAAAAAAAAGACTCTGAATTAGACTCTATCTTGAGAAAATAACATAAGAGGTATATCAAGATGTTCATGGGCATACTCTATAATAGTGCAAAATATGATAAGTGAAAACAAAAAAAGGAAATGATTAAATAAACTCTGTGGAGCTACATAGACAGTATTACATAACAATTAAAATATTTAGAAAGCAATTATAACATGGAAAACTGCTTTTGTGAAATTAAGAAAAAAAAAACGGTACCAGGTAAAGCACTGGGAAAACTGCACAAAAAAGACAAAAAATATATTATCACCTATATTTAATGGCAGAAAATGGTTGTTTTCTCTCCAATTCTTTTCTCTTTTCTGCAGTTTCCAAATACATGGTAATTACTTTTAGAATAAAAGACCACATTACAGTTATTTTTAAACATGTCAGTTTTCCTCCATTTTTTACAAATTGCATATTCCTAAAATGCTGATGTTCACTCACCTGTATGCATAGATGTTGTGGGTGGCACTAGCTATTTTCTTATTCTCATACAATTTGGCAAGAACCATTTTCACCTTAAAAACAGCAGTAATATAAATAAACTAATTTTTTATTTGCTTTGCAAATAAATGCTAGAAAAATATTTTTAAAGCATACTGGTATAAATAGTTATACTGAAATAGTTATTTACAGAATAACCACATTCTAAAAAACAACTCTCAAGTTTCTCTTCATTTTAGGGGGAAAACTATTATTCTGCATTGGCATAAAAATGACAGATCTCCAATTTCTGAGCACCAATGATCAACAAATATGTGAGTACTACCTGTGTCTACAGTACCTGTATATGAAAAAAGTACACCATGTAGAGAATATTAAATGAGAATTTATAAAAAAATTTCAGAACTCCAAAAATTTACCAAATTTATGTATCTAATGTGACTGGTACCCCTAATGGTACATTCTAAATATTAATCAATCAAAACTGTCTCTGAGAGTCAAGCAAGCTGTGCATCCAGGAGATTATATGGCAGGTCTAGGAAGATATGCAGCTACTCTTCTCCATCAAAATGGAGAAGGGGTGGGGTAGGAAGAAGCCATTTTACTCAGAGAAAAGAGCATATGCAAGTGTGCTAGATTTAGGAAATAAAGGATTCTGAGTTAAATTGGGTCTCAAATAATTTTTGTATTATAAGAAAATTAAACAAGATGGAAAAAATAAAGATATTATTACAAAACCACTAACTTTAATTACTTTATAACATCATCAAAATGAACTGGACACAATAAACTCACCTGTTTGGGACAAACTACTGGTGCCAAATGGGCCTGAAAAGTACTTCTTCGGTCTGTGATAGGAACGCCATGATCAATAGGTGGTAATTCTTCTATTTCTAAAAATTTAAAGAATGATAATATTTTTGAAATTCATACATTCAAATACTGAATGACTGGCAATGGAGGTAAGAGGAGAGGAGCTGAGAAAGAAATGGAAATTAAATGGCAAACATATTGTACTTAAGATAAAATTACTTGGTATATAAATGATTTTTATGTCCCAAGGTCATCCAGTGGAAATGGTGTGTTGGAACTCAAATCCTGAACTAGTGTGCGTTGGTATAATATCTAATTTTTATGAGGCTAAGGGATCCTAGACCAAAAAGGCTGAGGGCTCCTAGTATACTTTAAGTAAGCAATTTATTGTTGGTAGGCCTCTGTGCTAGGAAACCTATGACTTTTTTTTTTGTCTCACTGCAATCAATATGTCTTCTGCTAATAAAACTGTTGCTACTTCATAGGATTGAATTAAATATGTCAATTATATAGCAAATGGGTATTCCATATGGTATCAGGATTTCCACTTATTTTGTTTCTTTAATAAGTTTAAAAACCACTGATGTATTCTTAATTCCACTGAATTCTACAGAATTCAATAGAATTCTTAGTTGCTGTCTCTATTTAAGATGAAAAGGTATCAGGAAAAAGGAATTTAATGTTCCATCTGATCTATTGTGTTTTTTGTTAAGATATGAGGAAACTGCTATTATTCAATATTTAAAATACTAAAGTGGAATGTACTTTTAGGTAGAAACAATGTTGATTTATAACATCAATCTATTTTGAGTACTTGATCATGAAACAATTTGCTTAGGCATAAACTAAAATCTTAAGATGTTTTGTAAGTTTTAATTGGTAGATTACACTTTTGATTATTTTACTTAGATTTGTAAACAAATTAAAATTTAACTCTAAGATATCAGGAGACAAATTAAGAGCTCAAAATAGAAATATAAAGAGGATAGGAACTGAAAACACTAACACATTTTTCTTGGTTTCAATTTTTCATACTTCAATTTTTCACTACTTCAAAATTCTAGAAAGGAGAAAAAAGCTGTAAATTTCTATTTTTTCCTCACCATTCTGATAGACAGGAAGAAAAAAATTCAATTTTCTTCAAATAACTATTTCCCAATGTGAGAGCTTGCTAAATTACTAAACATTCCAAAAATGATATATAATCCTACCATTCCACTCTCCTCAAAAGAAACTAGTTAGTAACATTCATACCTGTTATACCTGTTCGATTTTCACTGATATCAAAATCCAGTGCTTTAACTGAATTTCCTGGTTGACATGTTAAAATAAGATCATCTTCACATTCAACATCTTCCTCTTCAGTTTTCTTCTTTACCTCTGGGCCTATGTGGATAATGAGACACTATGAGTTATTGGGAAGACAGTAAGAAGTGATTATGGATTACGGCAGCGGGTTATTGATACTTTAGTGGTAGGCGGGGTAGAGTAACATACATTTAAAGAGGTGTAAACCCATACTCCTAAAACATATGTAGTATTGTAAACCAGTTTTCCCTCAATTACAAAAAATCATTATTCTTGGCCTCTCTGGTGGCACAGGGATTAAGTCTCAGCCCTATCACTCTATCACCAGCCACTGCAGCATGATTCCAATCCGTGCCCAGGGAGTTGACTCACACGGTGCAGCAGACCTCTCCTGTCTCACCCACTGCCTCCCTAAGCAGTGTATTGCAGTAGATCTGCATGTCCTGCTCCCCACTCTGTCACTATTGAACCTTCTCACCCTTGTACGTCTGGCCCAGTTCTTATATGCATAAATAAAACATCATTAGTCTTAGTCTCTAAACACCATTCTTCAATAAAAGGAATGAGGCTTCTAAGAGAAACAGTATATTCCAGTATTGGAGCACGGAAAATAACAAGATGAGCACAGAACATCTCATGAGTCTAGAAAATAAGAAACTGCTAAAAGATAGATGGACGTTCATTTTAAAAAACAAAAGCAAAGACATAGGTGCAAACCTGGAAGATCTCCTAAGGGTCACACCTGGTACATTTGATGAACAAAATAGTTAAAGGAGTTTTAATCCATGGAATAAAATATATAAGAGTTCCTACTAGTAGAAGTAATCAAATGAACAATGAATAAAAAGGAAGAAAAAACCTCCTCATTATAACAGAATTCCAACTAGTAAATGAAGAAGAAAGAAGAAAACAGATAATCACTCTTAGGCAAATACCATAAAAATAATTATTGTTGGTAAGATCAACTACTGGATACTAAAATTGGTAGGTAAAAATTTAAAGAGAAACAGGATATTAGCATCACCTGAAATTATCTCCTGAAAAATACTGATCACCTACAAAGGAAAAGATAATAACTGTAATGATTAATTTTATGTAACTTGGTTATTAGGCCATGATACCCAAACATTTCTTGAAATACTATTCCAGATACTTTTATGAAGGTATTTATTTTTTTGCATGAAATGCACATTTAAATTAGTTGGCATTGAGTAAAGCAGGTGACCCTCTATAATGTATGGAAGCCTCATGTGAGTAAGGCCTTAATAGAAAAACACTAATATCCCCAGAGGAAGAAGGAACATTAACTAACTAACACAGTAATTTTACAATGAAAACATCTGGCAGATAACCATCTTAACTAAGGAATCGAGATAAACATCACCAACAGTAAAGCAAACTGAGATCATGACCTCCTTGACATAATGCACTGTGATGCATTTTTTTGTAGAGCTTTTGTCAAAAATGCCTAAGATACTCAGTCATGAGAAAACAATGCAGAAAACCCCAAATTGACAGATGTACAAAATAGTTGAACAGTATCCCTCAAAAGTACTAAAATCCTTAAAGGTCAAGGAATGACTGAGGAAATATTTATGGATCTGAAGAGATTAAGGAGAAATAAATGCAACATAAGACTCCTGGACAGGATTCTATAACAGAAAGACCACTAGAGGGAAAAATTGAGAAATTCAGATACTCAAAGCTTAGAATAATACTCTAAGCTTAGAATATTAAACTGATATTAGTTTTCTATTCTGAATAATTATACTAGACATTACTAGAGGATACTGAATGATTTTGCAAATTTATGTACATCTAAAATTCTAATCTCTTTGAAAGATTTAATGTTTTTATATAAATATAAAATTAAATATTTCCACAGTAGAAAACTATGATGGAATAAAAATAAATTTGTACTAAAGATTAACACCAAAACAATAATCAAATGAGTGCCCTGAAAAGGAATATTCTCATTAGATATCTTTTTAGAACTTTTATTCATGTTAGTTCTTCTGAATCATTAATCCTATTTTAATATGAAGTCTGTAAAAACAATTTTTCATAAAACATTCCAAACAAAATTTCTAAAAATTATTCATTTTGCAATGTAAATTACAATTAGTAAACTTTAAATAAGAGTGCCTGAACTAAATTATATAGGTGGGAAGAGGGAAATAACATTTTTAAGATTAATAATTTTAAAAATGTATAAGACTTGAAAAATCTGGAGGCCTAAATTTCTCTGGTATACATTTCATTTGCTAATTATCCCACCCTCCAGAGTGGTAGATTAACAAATATCAACTATGCCTTGAGACCACTCTTACTACAAATGCCCTAAAATGCTGCAAAATCAGAATATGGGTCCAAAAAGTTAAGGAAATACTTTAAAATGATTATGATAGGGAATGGCTAGCTTCACTTTAATGGAAATAGTAAGAACACTGGTTTCTATTTTAAAAAAATAGTAAAATGCTCTGGAAAAAGATGTAATACTATCAACTTAAAGTGTACAATGATTTTGCTAAGTAATTCATAAGCGAATGGTTCCCTGTAAACAACCTGCTAAAAACTGTAAATACACTATTTAGTTTTTGTTTTTTAATCCTCTTTTTCACAAGTTGAAAATGGATATTCTTTAGGAAATAAAAAGGTCAAATTAAGCTATTTTCCTCTTTGAAAGGCCTTTGTGGTAAATGGAATAAACACTAATAAAGTAACTGGAAATATTAAAAATTTCCATTTTGCCACAGATTTAATGTTTTTATGAAAGAAGAATACATCACACTGACTGTTAATTTTCAAATGTTCTGAAATCAGATAGTGGTGATAGTTGTGCAACTTTTAAATATACTAAAAAGCACCAAATTATACATTTCTAGGGTTCAAATAATTATAGTATGTGAACTGAATTACATCTCATGATGCTCAAAGTCATTTTTCTATATCCTAAATATTGGTCAGTGTGTTCTGCAAAGATTTCTTTAACAGGACACTTATTTGAAACTAATGTCTAACTTCTACAGCTTAGTAATTCATTAAGAATGTTAGATGGTTCATATTACCCTAGTTAAGAAAACACACAAAAATTTTTCTTCCTTTACTGAGAAAGATATTATTTTCAATAACAGTAACTTTTAACTTTAGATATAAATATAACTGACATGCAGCATTACTTTTAGGTATACAATGCAATGATTCAATATTTTTAAGTTATGAAATGATCATCATTAAGTCTAGTTACATCTATCCCAATACAAAAATATTTTTATAATGCAAATTTTGTGGTGTACTTTCTTAGAAATTTTCAAACATACAAAAATCCAGTATTAATTACAATTCCTATGCTACATAATAAAATCTCCATGACTTTGTTGTTTATAGCTGGGAAAGTACCTTTTAACTCTTTTATCCACTTTATACCTCTTCTTCCCCACCTCTGGCAACCACCAATCTATTCTGTCTGCATGAGCTTGGTTTTTGTTTGTTTTCCAAGACAGATTTTTTTAAAGATTTATTTTTTATGCATAGAAGAAACAGGGTGTAAACAATAGGGACAGGGGGTGAGGTGAGAGGATTCACCAGAGACACTGGGGAACAGAATATGCAGATTGACGGAAATACACTGCTGAGGAGAGTAGAAGGCGAGACAGTAGAGGCATGTGCACCACATGTGGGCTAGCTTCCTGGCTAGGGATTGATAGTGCTCAAATAGTGCTGAGACTTAAAAACCTTCCACTACCAGGGATTTTTGACCTAAGTCCTTGAACCATAAAATTCCATAAGAATATGAAACCAACAAGGTTAAAACTTACAGAAAAAAATCATCAGTACATGAATTAATTGCCTAAGAAACATATTTTACCACATATAAGCTATAATAAAGATTTCCATTAAAAATTTCAATTAGAAGGCCTCTCTGGTGGCACAAAGAATTAAGTTTCAGCACTATCAAGCTATCATCAGTCACTGCAGCATGAGTTCTATCCCAGCCCAGGGAGCTGACCCACATGGTACAGTAGACCTCTCCTGTCTTGCCCATTGTTCCCCTCAGCAGTGATCTGCCTATTCTGCTCCCTACTCTGTCTCTGGTGAATCCTCTCACTCCCACACCTCTGACCTACACCCCAGTTCTTCTATACATAAATAAATGAAAATAAATCTTTAAAAAAAAAATAAAAATGTAAAAATGTAAAAATATCTTTAAAAGAAATATTCAATTAGATATCAACAATAAAATGTCATAATTGTAGGTTCAAAGAGCACTGGTAGTAATTTTCATTCCTACCTGATGCTGTCGTCTGAGATTTTTGTATTAGAACATCTCTTATTTTCTCCACCCACAGGTAAAGAATACTTTCGCCAATATTCTGTCTAAACAAAATTCAGAGGGGAAAAATTTTATTAAAATATTTTCCTTCTCAAATTCAAGGAAATTCAGACATATTTACAATCTAAGAAACTAGCTGTGCCTTTTTAAAAAAGCTTTTATAAAAATATGAAACTTACTAAGATTTGTGGATGAGTGTTTAACAGGTTATAACATCAAAAAATAATGCTGTGACTCCAAAATTAACATTGCTTAATTAAAATAATCAAAAAAAGAGGCAATCATAGAGGTAAAAGAAAATTTCTGAACTTCCCTAAGCTTTTTGAACAATTTCAGAACACTTACTTAGTATACTTACTTCAACCAAGGATACATAGAATTTGCAGAACTCTTTGAGAGAGCACATTTACAACTTAAAATTAATAATTCAAGAACATTAAATCATATTGTTTTTGAAAAAATATTTTATTGCCCAAATTGATTCCTTTTAGTTCCAAGTAATTCTGATTGCCAAAGATAATCAAATGTATCTGAAAGGATTTTGGAGACAAAGAAGTTGTCATGGTTCATATGGCAACAGCACTAAAACAAAAGCCCAAGTGTCCTTAGGAAATGACATGAAGTTCAGTAAGTTTTAGTATGTGTGTTTAATGAAATCACTATATTAGGAAATTCACAATGTCTTACCCCTTTTCTTTTAAAAGTTACCCTGCATTATTATCTTTATCACTATTTATAAGCAACCACTAACAGATAATTTCAAAACAAATGTATAAAAGAAAATAAGAGTATTTTGAAATAATTCCATATTCTAGAATCCTCCTTATCTCAGTAATAATACCTTAGCACTGAAACAATACTCTATGCTCTTTTGTAACCTACCTTTTTAAAGAAAGCAAAATTCAAACTGAAAGGTTTTCAAAATTTTAGAAGTTGATTGAGTTTCTTTACACAATCACGCCTCCATCCTCTGTTCTCAACAAAAGACAGTACTACGGAACAGAGGAAGGTAAAATTTATTGAGTCAGTGCTAAGGAGAAGAGGGAAAAGAAGAGGGAGGGAGAAATAATTAATTCTCAACACATTTTAGTACAACTGTTTAAAGGAGTACATATTATCTTCCCATTACAAATGAGAAAACATATAGAAAGAGCAATCAACTTTTCTTAAGTCTCGTAAGCATTACTAAGACCAGAGGCAGAATGGGAAGACAACCCAAAATTCAAGTCCCCTCTGCATTTTGCTCTCCAATTCACCAGCTGCACCCTTAGGTAAGTAAGCTACTTGAATGCTGAAAGTTTCTTACCTGTAAAGTGGATTTAGAGTCTCAAGTCTATACTTCACAAAAGCAGCTTGTTTACAGGTAATCCTATCTTAACATAAGCAACAAATCTTTAAGGATGCAGCCCTATATATTAGTGAATGAGAAAACTGAGTCTCTTATTTCAGTTTTTATAATTACCATCATTACAAATTTATGTTTTTTTATGTAATTCTCTCCTTTTCCTAATATCATACTACTGATTCTTCACATCACCACCACCAAAAGTAGTAATGTTAATATCATTATTTACTGAACAACTACAATATAAAAGACCTGAAGAAAGTGCTCTGTTGCTTCACTTGATCCTTATAACCACTCTTAGAGACAGGAAAATTATCTCTCTGGAAAAAACATGTTTATATTCAGATTTTATTGTGGGGCAGTAGGGGACTGATAACACCTTAAAAGAGTGGAATCTGAAACGCAATCATCTAGAAAGACAATAAAGCTACTTCCCAATCTCAGTGGAAGGACAGGAAATTAATTACTGATGAGAAATAATTAGTAAACAAGGATATCCTAATGACATGGAAGCACTTTTGCAAATTCAAGAAGCAACTTAAATATTCTAGAAATATTTCAATGTCAACCTTCTCCCAACATCTTTCAGTACTTTTCTACCAGTTCATTCCAACCCTTAAAAATCCTGCTGCCTGGTTTCAGATTGAGTCTGGCATCTCTCCTTATTGCAATAAACTTGAATAAAGCCTTTTTTGCCCAGTTTGTCCAGTACAGCTTTTGCTTTGACAAGCCTCACTTTCCAACTTGAAACTCTGAAACTCCCATGAAACATCAAAATGTGAAGAACTGTGAGAAAGTTATTTTCTTGCATTTAAATGAAATACTGTTCATATGAACCATCAAATTTAAATACTACAAAAAAACTGATCCTTTCATTTTCATTATCAACTAACTATAATTTCAATATTTTAAAATCTATTATTTACCTTTCTGTTAAAATACTTTTTATTATTTCAAATATCCATATATAAAACATTTAAACAAAGTAAAGCAAATTAATCTACATCTAATCAAACACCAAATCCTAGTAAATATTCTAAAGTATGTCTTTGTCTGCCTAGACCAATCTTCTCCATGTGCAATCCTGTTGCCTGAGTCACTGACTTCTTCCTATGGTGTCTCTTTCTTCAAATTCTTCACACTCAGGAAAACCTGATTATATTGCATCCCTGCCTAAAATCTAACGCTACAACGCTACATGGTAATGTTCCAAGTACTGATCCAGCTTATAGGTTCTTTCCTCTAGAAACCTTCTCAATTTTATACCTGGTATCTAAAATTACTTGCTGTACTCTGAAGATGGGAGGCTGATTCACTTACATGACTTTTGCTCATGCACTTGCTTCATCCAGAAAGCCTCTTTCCCTCTGACTATCCAGCAAACAACATGCATAAAGATCCCCTTCACAGTGGAACCTCCTCTATAACCTCTCACCTACATGAGCAGATAGATTTTTGCTTAAAAACAAAAACAAACAAACAAAAAAACTCTAAGAAGTGCTACTTTAACAGCTGATCCAAATTTTTCAGTAATCATCACACTATATATTTTATTGGTATACTTCTATCTTAATTTTCAAATTCCAAATGAACAGGGTACCAGCATACAGGAAATGTTTAATAAATGTTTACTAGAAAAACTAGTTTTTCTTACTTCTTATCTCCCTCCCTACATAAGAGGCAACAAACCATACTATATCTTATCTATAAAAATTTGAAGTAAATATTCAAAATTATACTAAGTAAAATGAAAATCTTGATTGTTGCTATACTTAGAAAGAATATAAAACTATAAACATTAGGAACTATATTCATTCATTTAACCCACACTTGGTTTTCAAGTTAGTATTTTTTGGCCCTCCCTGGTGGCGCAGGCGGGTTAATGCACTGCACTGAGAAACTAAAGCCACTTCTGCACGAGTTCGATCCCCACCTGCCCCGGAGGTGACCACATGGCGTG